CCTAGATACTGCCATGACACTGTGTTTGAACTCAACAGAGAATCATATGTGTATGCCCTTGTAAATGCCATTCCTATAATTTTCCCTTGCATGATTGTTTTCTGAAAGACTGCAAAGTAAAGCTTGGTGGGAATTTTCCCACAGTCTATTTGTTTGTATGCAAAAATGCTGACTTGATGAAATGAAACCTTTCTGTGGAAAATAGTTGTTCCAGCAAGAAGGCTTCTCAGATTTAGAAGTGAATTTCTGGAAGGAGGAAAACAAAACAAAAAAAAAAAAAAAAAAAAAAAAAAAAAAAAAGAGAAGGAAAAACTTTCCATTCTTTTCCTCAAAGTAGATGGCTGCTTAGTGCTCAGGCATTCTCTGGAGGAAATGGGCAAGAGAGGTTCAAACCCCACCTATTCAGTGTGTTCATCTCTTTCTGGGCCAGCTATGCAAAGTCAAACATCATCAAACCGGGTAAAAGGGAGTATCCTTACTGGCTTATGTCTTTTTATGCCTGTTTGGCTATTTTTTTTTTTCCCAGAAAGGTTCTAATTTCATTTTAATGCTCAACAAAAGCATATTTTGGAATGACCATTGTTTTCCAAAATGCTAATGTTTTGCAGATAGTGTTACACTAACCCTTCAGTAATTGCCTTGCAGATCCGTTTATAAATTCTTTAAAATGTGGATGACAGAGTCATTCCATTTGGGATCTATAATGTAAATGGAGGCCTTCTGACTCATTGCAGGTTTTTTAGGAGACATCCAGAGTTTGATTCTGCATATTTCTAACAAATAAGCTGTTATGAGCTTTAGCTACTTAACTAATGGAGCTATTCATACACTTGATGCCAGCACATTATGAATTGATAACACTTTTATTAAAGTCAATAGAAAGATTTCTACTGGCCTCGAATGAAAGTTCATTACATTATGTCCTTGTATCTTCAAGTTTTGATTTGACGCTTGATCTTGTCTTATTTTAGTAATGTTCAGGTTCTATTAAAATTATATTTATATCAGTTATGCATCTCTACAATTTCAGAAAGAAGTATCTACTTTGTCTATTCTTTAGGGAGAGAATAGGAATTCAGGAAACCTGGATTCTTCTCTGACTTGCTGCTGACTTAGACTATCTATCATTATTTATTAACTTTAACAATTAATTTTATGATTTCAATATGCAAGGAAATTTAGGCACTAGGAAATAAAACATTCAGTAAAAGATTGCATTATAATACTCATAACCTTAATTTACTCAATGGCAATTTCTCAATTAGGACATTATAATGCAGTCTTAATGCACATTTATTATAGTAATGAAGACCAGAATTACACAGATATAACACAAATCATATTTAATCAAGAGCAATCTCAGATAATAACCAACTAAGAATTAGAATTATATGACATTGAGTTTCTGTGTATCATTTTTCTTCTATCAATAAATAATGTTACAAATTGTCATAATAGAAATTGTTTACATTTGTTTTAAAACATTCTGTAATATTGATTGATACTTTAGGCTGAGTGCTTATTGTACAAATACCATAAAAGTTCTCCAACTAATGAGAAAATTAATTTTCCATCCAGCATAACTCCAGTGTTCAATTAGATTTAAATACTAATTCTTATAATATACTAATTTCTTCAAAATAATAAAAAAAAACCAAAAAAATCAACCAACCAAACGAACCAAACCAAAACAAAAACCACAAAACCCACCCCTAATTTACTATTTCACAAAGCTGGCAGACGAAAATGCTTGAAAAACAGAGTCTTCAGTTCATAAAAGTAAATTATGTCATAAAACTCTTCCACCTTTTAAACTAACATTCTGTGAAATACTGTTCAGATTTACTTTACAAAACATCACAGATTGGTCCCCTATATCACGTACTCTTGTCTGTCTCACACAGTAACCACCTCCTTGAATCTTCTTAGCTGGAATCATGCTGCCAAAACAGATGGACTCTTAAAGTAAAGTGCAAGACTAATTATTATTTCTTAATCTTCAGCTATGAGATTTATCTTCTAATTTAAATTGGAATAATACTTCCATTGCAGTTTATCATACTTGTACTGTGAAAAGCATTCTAGGATCAAGTAAAATATTATGTCATAGTAGTTTTAATATATTTTCATATTTTATGTCATTACAGTATTATTTTTTTAAACTATAGCCAAAATATTTTAGGACATGTTGCATGTCGAGGTATGTTTTTAAGAGTGGTGAGTGCATAGGTTTCCAGCAGCTGTTAATACTAAACCAAACATTCCTTCAGAACAGTGAAACATATATGAGAAATTTGTGTTCAGTGACTGAAGAATATCAACCAAATTCTGAGAAATCCCAGCGTCGTGTGCATTTGTAGGTAGCAGTATTTTACATTTGGAAGCTTTCTCCATGAGTCATGTCCTAAACCAGAGCTGTAACTGAAAGATGTTACTGCTCCAGCCCTGCGTGCCTCCCCGGCCATGACTGCCAAATCAGTCTCCAGTTAAGAACATGAATGACGAAAGAATAAATAGGTTTGCATTTTTTACTGAACATGAGGGCCCCCGTAGCATCTTGAAACGTGTGCTAAATTCAGCACAAAGCATTGTAACATGCACAATCATAAAACTCTGCTGCCTGTTGTATAGATCTGTGCTCACTGCTGCAGTGAGAGATTTTGGTGGATGAGAAATAGCCTCTGACAAAACCAGCAGATAAAATTATTAAGTAAAGATAAAACCATATCAAATGTCCCCAGAGCTGTGAAACAATAGTTAGCTTACACTAATCTTGACTCTGAGGCTGAGAATGCCGTGGTTTCTCCTGTCATTTCAGGAATTACTTTTGCTACATTTTAAGGCATGATGCAATGGTTTAAAAAGTGGAAAATGTATCACGGAGAACATTCTGGCTAAAATCCCAGGTCCACTAAAATCAATGGGAGCTTTTACTCTGGTTTTGTGTCATACATTGGTTATTTCTCCTCCCTTGTTCTTTCACTTATGCCCATTTTATGATACTCTTCAATACATGTCGCTATACTGGAGTTGGTTAAAGTACTGCATGTTTCATTACATAATCAGAAGTCAAATTTCCACCAAACAACAGAACATTATTTTTATTTGCAGATACAAAAATTTTGCATTTCCCCTCACAACTGTTGTTTGATAGATATACGATGGATAAAGGTAAGAGGGGATTTACTGAGCTTTTACAAAATGGATTGTGTATCTGTGGCATGCTTTTTTGTGTATGTCACCTGCAAGATGTGACCCTCTGTTGTATATGACTTAAAAGTAACTGTGTGTTTTAAGTTAAACACTAGAACATAAACACCTACATTATACCTGAAGCACGCAATAAAAAAAGAAAACACATTTCCATTTTCTGACTGACCTCAATCTCTGAATGAGGACCCCTGCACATTACATTAGCAGGCTGGGCTCCATTACACTGCCGCACACTCTGCTCAATCTACTGAAATATTGATTTTTTTTACAGAGCATACACACTGTCAAATCAATATTCCCGTACACACAGCGGAGTAGCAGAGGCATAGCTGGGGCCTGCTCCGTGGCCTAGCAGAGAAGGTGTGTGTGGAGGGAGCAGGGACAGAGGGGCTACAGGAGGGTGGGAAGTACTACTGCCCATGGCAAGACAGAATAGGGCTGGTGTCTGAACAGCACAGAGAAGGTGCGGACAAAGAAGGAGGAACATGTTTCTTAAACACAACAAAAAGGCTCAGGAAAGGCTTGCCCTTTCTGTTTCTGCAGACAAAGGAGCTAAAGAAGACAAAACTAATTTCAAAGTATTTTCAGTTTATTTCTTTCAGATACTGAAATGACAGCCATAGGTTTGGGTTAACAGGTATTGCTGTGATCCCGCAGTGACAAGGACCACATCGACAGTTCACGGCAAAGTGATGCCGCTGCAGGAAGGGCTGGCACCTCTCCTCCCAGGGACACCTGCATGCACACACAGCCCTTGGAACTACTCCAGGGCCTCAAGTACAGACAGAGCATTTCTACTGTCGAGGCTTCCATGGCTGGACGAGCCCTGGATCAGTGTTTCAAACTTACTGGTGTTAGCAGTTCCATCTGAGCCTAGTGAACAAGCTGGATAGTAAACCCAATTTAAGTTCCATGGCTCTAATTTATATCTATGAATTTAATTCAAAAGATAAAAACAATTGCAGGAATTATTTTCAAAGCTTTGTTTAGGTAATTTTGTACTATTAGTGAATGATGAGTTCCACAGAGAACAAATGAAGTCCTGGCAATCTTCGAGAGAGAGCAGAAAACGTTTTCAGACAACAGATGCCCTCAGCTATTCCTTCGGGGAGAGAGAACACGCTCTTCAGTAAAAGTTGTTACATTCTTTCTAAAGTCCTTCAAACGCCAAGCGGGACCTGGAGACAGCCGAGGATTCCCCGCCTCACTCCACCACGGCACAGCCCCGGCTGCTCTCCCGGGGCGAAGCCAGGACACCTGCAGTGCCCGCGGAGCCCGAGTGCCGCGGCACCGAGCGCTCGGGGGCAGCACCTCGGCCGAGCGAACACCGAGCCCTCCCCGCGGGGCTGCGGCAGCCGGGGGCCGGTGCCGGGCACCGCCGGGCGCGGACGGGACCCGCACGGAGCAGTAACGCTGCGGAGCCGCAGGCGGCCGAGGGGGCCGCACCGAGAACCGGCACCACGTCCCCGCCCTCAGCGGGCCCGCGGCACCTCCTGGAACCCGCCCCGCACCCCCGCCCCGTCCCGCGGCTGCCCGAGGCGAGTCGGGGGTGAGGATCCTCCGGGGGGTCGCCGCCCCCTCCCCTCCGCGCCGCCCCCCGCACCCACACGGCCGCAGCTGCCACCGGGGCGGGGCCGCCTGCGAGGCGGCTTTGGCGCGGAGCGGCGACAGCAGCCGTGACCTCCGACCCCGCCCGCCGCCGGCCAATAAGAGCGCGGCTCGTCCCCGAACCCAAAATTTCCACGTCGGCAAAAGTCAAGATGGAGCGGCGGGCGCACCGCGGGGGCTGCGGGGCCGCGGGGGGATGCCCGGCGCTGCCCGGGGTCCCGCAGGGCCGCGGCGCCGGGGCTGTCAGCGGCAAGCGGCAGCTCCCGCTGGCTGCAGCGGCAGCGCTCCGGGCAGCTGCTCGGCCGCGGCTTTCGCAGGGCGGCCCGTTAGCTCCGGGCTGGGGGGAGGTGTGTGTTGGGGGGATGCATTTTGGGTATTTATTAAAAAAAAAATAAGAAAAAAAATGTCTTCGCCTCCTTCTCCCTCTTCCTCGGGCAGCGGGTCTCCCGCCGAGCCGCGGAGGAGGAGGGGGCTCCCTTCCCCACCTCTAACCGTGTGCGCCTTCCCTTCCCAGGCAGGGAAACTTGTGCTGGCGGGCGGCCCCGGCGCCGGTACCGGCGGAGGACTGGAGCCTCCGGAAGCAAAGTTCTGTGACACTCCGACTCTGGGTACGATAGCAGTCAGTGCACTACAGAACTTTGTCTCCGGCGGCGGCGGCGGCCCCGGAGCCTCAGGTGGACACGTCACTGCGGGGATGGCGAGCCCGGGCGCTGCCGAGCGCCGAAACCTGCGCTGCAGCCTCGGAATAAAGTCTGTGCTGTCGTGGCCTCCCGCCCTGAAGTTTTGTTGGGTGTCCTTTCTTTCTTTTCCAGGGTAAAAATAGCGCAACATCTGGGTACTGAGGGTTATTTCAGTGCAGTCAGGCCGGCCTGGCTGCCGGCATAAATGTGAAACTAACTGGTGCTCGGTGCAGCTGAGCCGGTGGTGCTGGGTATGTGAACGTGCTCGATGCTGTGCCTCGCTGTGCTTTCTTCTAAGTCTGTAACAGAATCTGGGAGCTTGAGTTTGATAAAAGTCTCCATGCTTCTAGCAAAAATCTATGCCACCAAGCCCTGCTGTGACACAGTGCAGTAAGTGTGCTAATTCAGGGTTTAGGCCTTGCCTCTGGTACTGGGCTGTTTTTCTCTTTAGGAACCTGAGACTTCCAGCTGCAGTTGAGAAATAACTTCAACTTCAAGCCTCTGCATATTCAAAGATCACAAGGTTTGTTGTGAGTGAGTACTGCAAGGCTTCATCCTCACTGATAGTAGGGGAAGGCTTTGGAAGGAAAAATGGCAGATGTATTTATTAGTGCAGTTGCAAGGTTTTATAATGTAAACTTACTTGACACCTGCACAATACTTAACTTGGACAGTGGCTTTAAGGGCTAAGAAAAGAAGGGCCAGGCTCAACTTTCTTCCATTCAAGTTGACACCTGGCAATATTACAGTAGCTGGCCTGCCTTTCTTCAGAAATTTTACAGAGTTTCTGGATGTGTAAACTAAGCTGTGGAGTTCTTGTGAGGTGGATGTAATCAGCTGGTCTGCTTTCATCATAATGAGAGTAATATCAAAAAACATATTGCTAGAGGCCAGATGGAATAAGGTGTGATTATTTAAAGATCAGAATGTGCCATAGAGTATGTTAATAATGAAGTATTTTACAGCAGCTGCATTGTATGGCAGATATGTTGCTTTTTTTATATATATATGTGCACACATAAAGATGTGTGTATATGCATCAATGTTAGAGGTCTCATATTCTGTTAGCTTCTTCTAGCTAATCATCCCCCTTGGGCTCACTAGAAACCTGAATCAACCTTTCCTTTCTGCCAGTCTGAATGTGGAAGTTACAGCTAGATTATATGGTTCATGGAATTGGGCTGGAAACTGAAATGCTGTACTAAGTACATGTTTTTAGCTCAAAACGTTTAATCAAAGGGTAGGTAAAGTGAGGAGCACTTACTGTATGGCAGCCCATGTGACCAGCCAGGGCTATATTTGGATGCTGGAGGTTTAAGGAATCCTTTTTGCTAACCATTTTTGGCCAATTGCCTGCTGCTTTATGTTGTGCAGTGTGACGTCTGCTAAAAAGGACTTGGAGGTCTGGTGCCTGCAAACTGTTTAATCAGTGCGGTATAGGGAAACACCTTGTACTGTCAGGGCTGAAGTCCCACTGTATTTAATTTAGGGGTGGTTCCTGCCTAGCAGGATATGTAATGCAAATTGCAGTTTCCAATTTTTGTACTAAATAGCCTTTTGGAGTGTTGGGGCGGGGGGGGGGGTTTGGTAGTGGTCCAGTAGATTTTATAAAGGCTTCTTAGATACTCAGGTTTGGTGGTTAAAACTCCATATACTGGAAACCCACAGACTGCAGCATAGGCTTACTCTTTTGGGGTGAGTGTACCGTGTTTGAATCTCAGCTTATTGCAGTATAAATTCAGCCCAGAACAGGGGGAAGGGGGTGGTGCAGGGCAGGCTCCTGAAACCTCTTGTAGTGGACTGGGTGTGATGGCAGATAGCAAAGCTGCCATGGGAATGAAGAATTGTTGGCCTTCTCTTTAAAATAGTACAGCTGGAGCCAATTTTTTGCCTGCTTTACTTTCCTGGTGGTCAAGCTGACCAGTTCTGAAGGTAAGGTGAGTATTTCTTGGCCTCTTGGTAGCCCTCACTTGTCCTTGCCGCATGTCTGCAGCATGTTGTACCTCCTGTCCTACAAGTAATACTTGAATGGTGACCTTTTGGTGACACTTCTGCTTTGATACAGGAAATCATGTGGCCTTCAGATGGGACTAGAAAAGAGCTTAGCGCTTCTGATTTTGTGCTTTATTCTTGCACTGAAATGTATGTGATCTGACAGTACCCTGGCATTTGAACTTTCTCACTTCTTTGCAGTGTAAGACTTTAGAGGCAAGCTTGAGGTGTGTAGCAGCGCTTGGGGCCTTGAATGGGAGATGAAGCTTTGGCTAACCTATTAACTGTAGTGTTTGATGAAGATGATGCAGGAAATGGAAACAGAAAAATAACTGGTGATGCTATTTAATATAGAGTCTGAATGCCAAACTGTGTAAATGGATTCATACATGTTATTTTCCAGTGACTGCTTGGCATTGTCTGCTTCTCTTCCAGTGCATCACTGGAGACGTACTCTGAACTGCTGCATTACTTTTTAGTGCTTTTTGACACTTCAGAGTGTCTATTCCAATTACAGTCCTCCCCTCATTGGAAGAGTGGCAAATGAGCATGCTGAGTAAATTACAGAAATTTCCAAAATAGTACAAGTCTGTTATTTGAAGGGGCCGAGGCAAAGGAAATGATACCAGCCTATTTATTGTTCTGCAAAGTGGAGAACAGGAAAGGAGTTTGCTGTCAAGTGCTCTGAAGGTTGAAGCTGAATGGATCTGAGCATGGCCCAGACTCCCTGTATGTATTGATTCAGCTGTATGTACGTGCTTGAAATCCATACAGAGGTGCTGAAGTTTGAATTCAGGATTTTAAAAGAGACATCTTAGAATTTTAGAATATAAAAGGTGCTATCTTATGCCTTCTTTTTTCTTCCAGGTTGGGATCTCCTTAAATGCCAAGGTTTTGGCATGTCTTGCACTGCTGGGAGTGATGATGAGCCAGTGTGCGTGTTCAAGTGTTGGGGTTTTTTGTGATGGGAGAATAATTAAGAGCATAGGGAGTATAGAGTAAAGGCAAGCTGCACAGCCTGTAGCTGGTTAGTCTCAGGATGCCACGGGACCTGATGGAGTTGAGGAATGTCCTTACTTGAGTAGCTTCCAGAGACTGGATTTTGAGCTGAAGTTTTAGGCAAAAATTTAACTTATACCAAAAAATGCTGTTAGTAGAGATGAAAAGGACAAGCCTTTCATGTGTATTTTCATGGAACTAAGTTGTTCTGTTTTATTAGAAACAGAAGTCGATTTACGGACTTCTAGCAACTGTATGATAAACAATTTATAAATAAACCATAGAATTCAATGAAATTCAAATGAAGTATTGGAAGTTATGAGCTGACTACCAAAACCCCTGGTATATTTTGTATTTTTATTTATCTGCTGCCTGGGCATCTATATTCAGGAAACTCCACATGAAATGAAGTGTCCTGAAAGCTCAGCTAGAGCAGCAGCTCCAGGAGTCTTGTTTATTTTGTTTCTGGTGTAGCAATGGTCTATTCCCAAAATCTTGGGAGAGCAGGATAGAAATGTTTTGCAGGATCCCTGAGTTACCAACACGAGGCCATGTGCATCTGTCAGGAGCAGAATGGGAAGGAGAGTTGCAGTATTTGAGGTGAGTTAATGGCACAGTGAGGTCGAGGATTTGCCTTGCAGCTGGAGCCACAGAAGGTGAACCTGGTCCTGATAGAAACAGGGCATTGAGCTATAAATAAGTGGATTCTTAGAAGTAGAAACTGGAACTACAGAGCAATCCAAGGTGTATTTTTAATTTTATTTTGTGAGGGAAGTTAAATTTAAAAAAGATTGGCAAACTCCATTAAATGAAGCTATTTTCTTACATTGTGTATCTGACAGAAGTGAACCAGGTGCCCATTGTGCTGACTGTACTCTGCAAATAATCTTTACTATGACCAGAATTTATTTTTGGAATACTGGTACTAATACTGAAGATAACTTGGAGTGGTTGAGCCTGTATTTAAAATATTAGAGGTGGCTTAAATCTCATCCTAATTAGCTGCAGAGTGAGGGAGCTGAACCTTGGCTTCATATAGCGAACTCCAAGTTGCTGAAATGAGCACACAGAATCCTGGGCCTTGTGAAAAAACAGCATGGGACTGTTGGTGAATGATTGCCACTTTATTTTGAGTCCAGTTGGGCCGTGAGGCAATACTGCCTATTTGTGCAACAGCAGTTCTTACCCTGGCTGATATCTGTTACCTTTCAAGTTTTGGAAACTACATTCTTGCACCGATACTTGATCTGTTGCAGAGCTCTTATGAATGTTCTCCAGCTGTGGTCAAAGAATGAATTTATCTTTTTTACAAAAATAAATCCCAAAGCTGAATATTGACCCACTTGGATGGTAAAATCCAGCAGCACTGGTTTTGGAAACACCATTAACAGTGTAAGAGACTCAAAATAATGGCAGTATTAGCATATTTAAGTTGTGCAGGTAGAGCCATTTAGGCAAAGAGAATCTGTTTAATACTCTGTATTTTGGCAGCTGGGTGACTTGGAGCTGTCTAAATTCATAAAGGCGAGTAAGTGTGATTGCAGTGAGTGCTGTCACTTTTGCTGTACTGACTTCCAGCTCCCAATAGGACATCCCAAAATTGTGACTTATGTGTAACAGTTCCTTCAGGTTCTGCTTCCTTGGAAGAGGCAGAAGAAGGATGGTTGGAGTTTGTAAAATTGTGCATAGATACTACAATCAGCTGTCATCCTTTAATGTCTTCTTTCACAAACTGAAACACAGGGAGGCCTGTCTGAACATCAGGAAGTACCTTCTCGTGGTGATGGTGAGAAGCACTTTTACAGCTTAACCAGGGAACTTGCAAAGTCTCCATACTTGAAGATACCCAAAAGCTGTGTGGCTACAGGTCTGGGCAGCTTGCTCTCGGTGGGCCTTATTGAGCATGGGGTTGGACCAGATAACCTCTGGAGTTCCTTTCCAACCTGAACCATTCTGTGGTTCTCTAATTCTTTTCCTCACTTTATATGCAGGAAACTGTTTTACCTTTCCTTCTGTGTTCTCCCTGTTCTCAGTTTCTTCTTGTTACTTACTGTCACATGAATTATCCTTTCATTAATAAAGCAGAGGGGGAGAAGGGTTACAGAAGATCAATATTAATCTGAATAAATGTAATGTAAAGCACATAGTGATCACCTTTGACTCTAGTGTTATGTAGCTCGAGTGTTTAAAAAAATGAATCCCATCAGAAGCATGTTCTTGCTTTAACTTATATAAGTAGTCAAGTACAGTATTAAATGTGTTTAATGCAGAGGGATTCTCATTTTCCTAGTGACTCTTATTCTCCTAGAAGGGTGGTTTTGCTCTTAAATTATGGTTGGGCCTGAGGAAGCAACTGAAGCTCAGAGATTTCTTTTGCATAAGGCCTTCCCACTGCAGTGATGTTAATAGACTGACAAAATATTCCTTGTATGACAGCAGCTCTCAACCATATGGCACCAATGCCAGTGAGACGTGCTCCCTGCCCCTTCACCCAGGAAAAGGAGCTGTGCTGAGGTGGGGGAAGGTGTGGCAAACCAGAATTCCATTCAGAGGGAAGGACCTTGCAGGGGCAGAAATGTAGGTGAGGTGAGCACTTCTTGCAGTGGAAGATGTTGGGTAGAAATGAAGGCTTCAAATAGTAAAGAATATCTGCTTGGCTGCCCTGACTCCTTTTCAAGGTCGCTCATGTTTAGTCTTCAGGGAGTTGCATCACCAAAACCCCCCCACACAGCAATCAAGGCAAGAAGCTGATAGTGTAGAGCAAGGCTTGGAGAAAAGGTGCATTTCACACTAGTTGTGAAACTCTTGTAGTCCTTGCATTGAAGAGCAAGTATGCTGGGCAATATTTGCTTAGCTGCTGCTGTGTAACATTCTGCACTCTCCTGTAGGTATGGCTTGAGGGATCAGGAGGAGGAAGGAGATGTAAATGCACATGGGAAGAGAAGAAGGGGAGGACAAGGTAG